GAAATTTACGTCGTCTTCGTTTGATCCATTTAAAAGAGAATATTATGCCTCTTGAAAATTCAAAACAACCTGTTAGACATTATTTACGTGGAAAATATTTTCTCGAGTTTTCTTTGCTGTCTTGTTTCAGTTCTATTTTTAGCCTGCCATCATTAAATCTGATAAATATGGTATTTTATTTTTATAGCAACACTTTGACTAGGTTTATTTCAAATGGATGAATTTATCGCAATACTGATTTAAAATTTGCAGATTGACTTAAACTCTTGAGGCGGATTAACACTGTATTAGCCGGTGTTAATTTTTAATCCTATATTTAAGTCAATCCACGATTAAGCTGGATTAGCTGTGCTTTCTATCAGAAATACTATTAAGATTTAGTTTTACTTAAAAGCGTTCTGTCCAATTGTCCAGGCTCGGTCTAAGGCAAAGGCAGCACCTTCCGACAATCGGAGTCACAAAAGAACGTCAATAAGGAGCATGTTCAGTTAACGTAAAGAGAAATAACCCTCACTCGTCGATAAATTCCCATCTACTGAAATATGAAGCCAGAAAAGTGTCGAATTTTATAGCTTCAAGATTATTATTGCTGTAAGCCGAAATTGACAAATATACAGTGTCCTTACTTAAGTGTGCAACATATGGGATTTTTTTTTAGTAATAGCACAACCCAAATACAAACAAGGCCAAAAGTTGGTGCATGTCTGATAATCATATTAGGTGCACTCAGAATGGTTGTAAGTCAAACAGCATACAGGGTGGCTCAAAAAATATCAAAATTCTACTAATATTTACTTAAATAAAATAAAAATTTTGCACGTAAGCCGAAATTGACAAATATACAGTGTCCTTACTTAAGTGTGCAACATATGGGATTTTTTTTTAGTAATAGCACAACCCAAATACAAACAAGGCCAAAAGTTGGTGCATGTCTGATAATCATATTAGGTGCACTCAGAATGGTTGTAAGTCAAACAGCATACAGGGTGGCTCAAAAAATATCAAAATTCTACTAATATTTACTTAAATAAAATAAAAATTTTGCACTTTAAGGAGAGTTTTTTTAATATGGCTATTATCATTAGTATTGTTTTAACTTGTTAAAAAAAGAAATTGCGACATTTTAAAGTTGTGTTGAATATCATTGCAACAAACATGAACTTTGTGATTCCAGAAAAAATTAAAAAAAAAGTTAATTTTACAAATATGCTTGAATTTGAACAAAGTTATGTAAAATTGATTTAATTTTAATTAATTTTTGAAAGTATTAAGTGCGGAAATAAAAAATAAAAAAAAATATAGAAATTATAGATTTTTTTCGAAAGAAAATAAAAAAAATCTTAGGAGGCTATATTTTGGTATTTAGGCATAACTTTTAATTTCAAACAACTTTTCTCTATAACATTTTGCTGAATTTTCTAAAATAAGGGTACTTTACAGTACCAGCTTTGATATTGTTTGAGCTACCCTGTATGCTGTTTGACTTGCAACCATTCTAAGTGTACCTAATATGATTATCAGACATGCACCAACTTTTGGCCTTGTTTGTATTTGGGTTGTGCTATTACTAAAAAAAATCCCCATATGTTGCACACTTAAAAAGTCACACTGAGGCGAAATTTATGTTTTCCTAGATAAACACTAAACTTTAAACTAATATGTCGACTGAACCACATTCCATGTGGTTGTAATAATTTATTCAAAGTCAAGGATAATCTCTGACTACCTACGTTTTATGACGAACCCAGATGTCAGGTAACTGATAGCGCTGCAATGAATTATGTATATTTGAAGCATATGTGTGTGTAGCGAAGCAATAATTACATGAGCTGGATTTTTAGGATACAATAACCAATTGTAAAACAATATAATTACCTAGGGTTAGGTACTAGTCAAGAAATGTTAACATTAAACGTTCAATTAATAATTTGACCTCATGTAACTAACGAACTTTGTTGGAGAGCCATCAAACTGGATTACAGGATGAAGCACTTTGGATGGGGAAAATTGAATACCAATGGAAACACTCCAAGAAACCAAAGGGTACTTTCAGCGCTGAAAGCTCAGAGAGTTGGAGATCCTCGACTTTGCCGATTCTCGCAAGCCCGGTACTAAGGGGTAGCCTGTGGGCTTCTGAAGTGGTACTCAGAGGGTGGTTCCTTTCGCTTATTTAAGCAGATGTTGAGGACAGTTACCTTCAGTTATCGCCAATTCACCACATATTAGCCTTTTCTTTTCTGGTTTAAAAATTCCCATTAAAACACTGGTGGTGGCGTAGAAAAATCTTACGTGCCAATTTGTGCGGTTAAAGAAGGTGTTTCCAGCTTCAGCAGAAAAGTGGTAAGTGGTACTAGTTTTGAGTCTCTAATAACATCTTTCAATAACCACTCCAAGAAGAGAAGAAAGAAGATTTCGTTCCGGTTCAGAAAACTGTTATTTAGTGCTTCAGATCAAATTTACTTTTCAGCATAATTTACCACGAAATTTTAAGATGTGACGGAATCATTCACGCTACGAAAATATCAATTCTTACATAACATCTCATGAAAATTTTGAAATAAAACAGATTATACAAAATGATCTAGGCTATGAATTTTTAACGCCTACTTTCGTGTTCAATTTATCAAACTAAAAACACGAATAAAATCTAACGTCAGTGCTGACATTTAGCTGCACGATCATAGAGCGAGCTCCTCTAATACCATTTCACCTACATGCTTTAGCACTTAGCAATGGAATTGATACAAAGTTTACAAACGTTAACTTTCTGAACTGATGAGCCGCGCTTCGTTTTATCTTTACCCAATTTGAATGTGTTGAAGTTTGTTTTTGGTTCGGTATTTGTTCAAGAGAATATTTTACATTGAATAAATGATATTATAGCAAAGCCTGAAATGAACTTCCTTTTTGCTGTGTGTTGCTCTTCAGCTGTTCGGAATAATACTAATAACCCCAATCATTGAGGCAATGGGCGTAGGTTACAATGTATTTGATATTATTTAATTAGGACGCCTGGGAAAACGAAGCCGAAAACAAAGAAAATCTTATAATCGACTCACGTGTTACTAGCTTAATATGCATAATTGAGTTGTTGCATGAGCAGCATAAAATAACCTTTCGTACAATTTTCTCTCTACTATAGTCGACAAAAGCAAACCCAACTAATATTTCATGCAAATGTAAAAAGTTTTACTCTTTATCTATATCATATAAGGTCTGGTTACGCTGGTGAGGATTTTCTTCAAAACTTGCTGACTTGAAAGTTAGCAAACTGAAAGCTGGTATATTGTTGAGTTGTTAGCGGAAGCCAGCTTATATTAATAATTATTTCCTTCTTAGCAAAGAAATTTCACGCGCGCTCTCGAGAATACGCGAGCGCTAAAAGCTCTCGGCATTCCGGCACGGATAATTAAAAGTCGTAAAAAATAATGCGAAAACTTTTTAATTAAAAATGATAAAAAAAAAATTCAGTTTCTCGTCCCCGGCACTGATGCGGCCGAGTCGACGACGTGTGAATTACACTTTGAAAAGTTTATTAGCAGATTTGCGAGAGGCAAAATGAAAAAAAAAATGGTTTCCGCATTACACAGGGTTATCAAAGAGTGATTATATGAATAAAACATTATTTCATTTCGGACCGGTCCGCCACTGGAGTTTTTCTGGTTTATTTGATTCTATTTTTGGGCCTATATTTTACTTTCATACTTTTATTATCAACAAAAGAAAGAAAGAGGCACATTTAGATTGAGACTAGGCCCCCGTAAATTTCAATATTTTAAATGTATCATTATTGCAAAAAAAAATTGAAATGTAAAGAGTATCGTATGTCTGTGATAGCATATATAGCTTGTCAAAGTACGTAGGACCTGCTATGCTATGTATAGGAAATATTTGAGGAAAATCCCTACGTACATTTTCTTGAATGTCTCGAAAAATACTGAGCCGATTTTGACGTTTTTGGGGTCCTTTTGTAGGTATGCAAACTGATGATTTTCGGTCGGATTACACATTCACCTCTTGACAGGTGATTAATACTTTATGTATCAACGTTTTAGCTCATTTGGACTTATAGTTCTAAAAATAAAATGGTATTAAGCAATTTGAGGTGATTTATCAATTTTTCTGAGTGCCTTTTCTCATAGAATCTGGCTCCAAATCAGAATAATTTAGTGTATGGAGTTCTAACCATCCTGTTTACCAGACCAAAAAGTCTTCCTAAAACAGTATTCAATGTAGACCATGGACATTACGAATACACACGTATGCCCTTCGGGTAAAAAAATGCTCCTGCTACATTCCAACGAACAATGGATAATGTTTTACGAGGATCCCAAAGGACCATTAGGACACAAAATCTCAACAAAAAAAAAATTAAAATTTCATCGACCTTATGATTTAGATTTTGGAAAACTTTGAAAGATCGTAAATAGATAGAAAGCTGAAATCCTCAACGATTCTTATCCCAGTAGATGACTACAATATATGCGGTGGAAAATATTGTATGACGGTATGTTGCACTAAATTAAAATTCAATAGGGGAAACGTGGAAATAGAGTTTCCTTTCTGAAGGGATGTAAATTTTCTATTTATAAATGCGAAATGGTGGAAAATATTTGAGAAATAATAGTTTTTACTTTGAAAACCTATTTTTAGATTTGTGACCGCATTTACTTTATTCGTTCTAATGTGATATTTTCTTTTTCCGAAATCAGTTTTTGTATCTATATATCAGTTGAGCTCTCTATCTCGCAGAATTTCCAAGAAAAACGAGCATTACGTATTTACAATGCATCCAACATGTTCGCTATTCATAGACAGCTTGTTACCGGCTCAAAGGACCAAATTGTCGCAAGAACTACGTGTCAGGAATTCGAAAGTTGTTTTGCCGGAAAGTGCATCCTCCAATTTCGTAACTTCGTTGTCGCTGATTTGTTTGCCGTCGGGATTTCGAAACAGTTTATGGTTATTTTCGATACATTTATAAACACAATGATTCCTACCTGGTACCAGTCTGGGTCCATTGCAGGCAATCGGCTGGTTGCCGGCAATTTCGCTACCGTATTTTAGATGAAGAGGGTCCGCACTGCTCGAAACGACCGCAATCTCGTCCAGTTCGTGGCAACCTCCTGTTGCCGCCCCGGCCGCCCCTCCGCACCCGGGGCCACCTACTAAGCGACCCGCCGAACTATCCTGAAAATTTAAAAAATTGTTTTCAGTAACCAAAGTACAAAGTTATACTTCATCATAAATTCATCGGATGTATTTTTCAATTCAAACGAAAAGGAAACTAGGAAACATTTAATACTAAGTACATATAGCAATATATCCTATTCACAATCCGATGTCCACAGGTGCAGGTAAATTTATCACCTTTCCCTATCAAATAGCATTGAAAGGTGATTTTATCTGTACATCGGATTGTGAACGGATAATAAGTAACATGATCGTTTAAAATTATACCTGGAACACATTATCCAACAAATGGCCACCGGGACTTCTCTCACAGCACACAATTATTTTGCCAAAATTTTCGATAACATCTGTGCACATTCCGGTGGTATCTCACGAATAATGCGCCCTATGTTTGGCGATTGTTCATCCCCAGTTTGGATAGTACCAAAAAAGAAAGATGCCTCCGGTATTCAAAAATGGAGAATGATGGTAGACTATAGAAAACTTAATGGAAAGACAATTGATGATAGGTATCATTTACCAAACATCACAGATATACTAGACCAATTAGGTCGCAGTAATTACTACACAACCTTAGACCTGGCTTCAGGATTTCATCAGAAAAGTAGAAATGCATTCTGATTCTATATCAAAAACGGCTTTTAATGATGAAAATGGTCATTTTGAATTTCGAAGAATACCATTTGGTTTGAAAAACGCACCAGCAACATTTCAAAGGACAATGGATAATGTATTGTCTGGATTACAAAATAAAATGTGCTTGGTATAATATGGATGTCATAATTATATTTTCAACATCTCTACACGAACACATTAAAAACTTAAAGAAAGTCTTTGAAAGATTAGATCAATATATTCTAAAAATTAGATAAATCGGAATTTTCAGGAAAAACTGTAGAATTTTTAGGACATTTTATAACACATAAAGGTATAAAACCAAATCCAAATAAAATATCAGCAATTTATAAAGAATTTTGCCAAGTTAACAAAACCTCTAAATTGCTTAAAAAAAAGATAGAAAAATAATACATGATACAGAATTTATAAAAAGTTTTGAAACTTGTAAAAATCTGTTAATGAATGATCCAATACTACAGCATCCTGACTTCAAAAAACCTTTTGTGTTGACGACAGACGCATCTAATTACGCGATAGGAGCAGTATTATTGACACCTTGCGGTTTCTTGAGTGAAAGCTTATATCTGTGGGCAAAACCTATGTACCAATCTTCACCGGGCCGTCCATTTTGGAAACTCGTTTTTAAGTTGTTGCTTTACGTGTAAACTTGCACACCATCAAGCACCTCTTGCCGAGATAGTTCAAAACCCCATCTCTCCATTGTTTTAATACATTCCACTAACTGCTTTTTATGTTCGACTGGCAAAGACAATTTTCCACCACCCCCTTTTCCAGCAGATGAAACAATACCTTGCCCTCAAGTGCCTCTAAAGTAATGTTTTAGAGTAGTTCTTGGAATATTGTATAATTTTGCAGCTCCCCGTATGGTTTTTCTACCGTCCATTATGTCCTGTTTGGATAGTACCAAAATGAAAGATGTCTCCGGTATTCAAAAATGGAGAATGGTGGTGGACTATAGAAAACTTATTGAAAAGACATCGTATCCTTTACCAAACATCACAGATATACTAGACAAATTAGGTCGCAGTAATTACTTCACAATCTTAGACCTGGCTTCAGGATTTCATCAAGTAGAAATGCATCCTGATTCTATATCAAAAACGGCTTTTAATGTTGAAAATGGTCATTTTGAATTTCGAAGAATGCCATTTGGTTTGAAAAATGCACCAGCAACATTTCAAAGAGCAATGGACAATATATTGTCTGGATTACAAAATAAAATGTGTTTGGTATATATGGATGACATAATTATATTTTCAACATCTCTACACGAACACATTAAAAACTTAAACAAAGTCTTTGAAAGATTAGATCAATATAATCCAAAAATTCGATGGAACCGTCCCGCTTTTTTTATTTGCCTGAATACAATATAAAATGTATGCAACAATAATTTGATTCATCATCCGTTATTCAGTTAGAAAAAAATATATTGAATTTGCCGATAAAACGAGTCTATTCAAAACACGCGCCTAACGTGACGTCACATGACTCTGACCAATACCATTATAAGCCGTGTTCAGTTTTATCATCTTTTTCGTTGATTTGCTCCGAAATTTTGACAGGCATGTGATTTGTAAATTGAAACTGTCTGATCCAGTCACGTGCCTGTCAAAATTTCGGAGGAAATCGACGAAAAATATGACAAAAACGAACACGTCTCCCAATCCGTCGTCAGAACTAGAAATCAACAATTAACCAATTAGGGGGTGGTTGTGACATTGAAATCCGCTATACCGATAACAACTAAGACAGCCGTGGAAATTGCATCACAACTTTTAAAGTACTTTGGTGATCACGGAATACCTCAACGAATGACTTCGGATAACGGAACAGAATTTAAGAATGCAATAATTACTGATTTATGTACATTGTATGAATTTGAATTTCACTATACAACTCCGAGAAAATACGCTTTACTTTTGGTGTAACCCCACAAAAAGACGGCGCAACATGTCACACAGCAAGAGAAACCATTGACTTATTGCAAACACGGTTTGAAGGTAAACTTTTTTCAAGAAATAGGGATGTTAATTGGCCGCCTAGATCTTGCGATCTAATGTCACTAGACTTTTTTTGTGGGGTTACATCAAAAGTAAAGCGTATGTGAACAATCCCCAAACGATTCAAGAGTTGAAAGATGAGATTCGGCGCATTTTTTCATGAGATACCACCGAAAATGAAACAGATGTGATCGAAAATTTTGCCAAAAGAATTGTGTGCTGTGAAAAAAGTCTTTACTCGTTGATAACTTCTTATGTATTGTATCGATTCAATTTATTTTTGGAGGCTGTTCAGTTTTGATCAAAAAGTTTCAGACATAATGTGAATATTTCTAAAAAGCTACGTATTTAACGTCGTCAATTAGGAATTCTAAAACATCCAAACTTAAACTTTAATAAGTTAGTTTCCTGACTTGAATTTTTAAAGGTCTCTTTAACGACTGTGCTAAACGAGTGAACGAGTCCTATTTCAAGCTACGATTGACGATTTTCTATTATAGTATTTGGAGTTTTATATTTGTGAAATGTTTTTACCAGGCAAACATCTTCTTTATTGATTCTAGAAAAATAAAAAAGGAAATTACAATACATTATCTTAGGACTTATCAGAAGAATTTATTTACATATTATTATATCGTTCTATTTAAGCTATAATTAAGACCAAAGATAAGAAATCCACAAGATAATCGTTCAGTTATTGTACTTTCAATAAAGTTAATTTTTATCAGCATTTCAAACAGAATAATGCGTGAGATTATTCAAATAAACCATCTTTTTTTCAGTGTGATTTAGTTGTAAAGTGTAAAATGTTTTATACGTTGATCTTTATAGTTTTGGTGACAATAATATTTTATATAAAAAGAAAATATTCCTACTGGATAAGAAAAAAGGTACCAGGTCCTACACCATGGCCAATTTTCGGAAATCTATTTCATAATTTTACGAAAAGAAAGACTGTTGGACAAATATTTAGACAAATTTATAGGTGAGAATATTTGTTCAGATTTTATTCATAGCCTAGATTGTTTATTGCTTTTTCAAATTTTCTATGATTTATATTATATTGAGTTCCTCAAATTTCGAAAATTTCAGTACTTATCCTGAAGAACCATTAGTCGGCGTCTACAGAACCAGTGAACCAGTACTTCTCATTCGCGATCCAGAATTCATTAACAGAATCCTAACTAAAGATGCTAAGTCTTTTTTCAATAACGATTTCTCAGTTGATAAGAAAACGGACCCTTTACAGGGAGAAAGTCCTTTTGTTCAAAAAGATAATGAATGGAAGGAGACTAGGAAGATGTTGTCACCTGGGTTTACTAGTGGAAAGGTAACAATTTTAGTTCAATGAACAATGATAATTTTTAAGCAATGTTCAAAGAGATTTTCCATTTTTACATTTTACAATATTATTTCAGATGAGGCCCCTTTTTACAATCATCGAACAAGTTAATGTCCGACTGAAGCATTATCTGGAAAAGCACGAGGGCCAAACACTGGAAACGCAGAATCTCTGTCGCCGCTACACTCTGGATAACGTGGCTCTGGTCGCATTTGGTATCAACGGTAATTGTTTCGACAGTGACGAATCGGATTTTATGAAACTAGCTAATTCGTTCATAGCTCCTGGTACTTTTGCTTTGTGGATGTTGCAGATGTTCCCTCTAATTAGTTACCTAGTATCGTTAAAGTATGTAGTGTATATTTTTATATTTATCAAAATTAAAACTTTTATTTAATTGATATTTAAGAGCCATTCCTAAGGAAGTTGATGATGGATTGACAACGATAATCAAAGATGTTCTAGAATCTAGAAAGAAAAACAATATTGTTGTCAATGATTACTTAAATTTTATAGCAGAATTGGGAAATAAAAACAGCCTAAGGTGCGTGGAAATGGCTGGGCATGCGGCAACTTTTTTTGAAGGTAAGTATATTCAGTATCCTTTTCCCATTACCAATAAAGTATGGTTCCAGATGGCTACGAAACTTCAGCTTTAGTAATGAGCTATATTTTATTTAATCTTGCTCAATCTCAACATGTGCAGGATAAACTAAGGTCCGAAATTGGAGAATTTGAAAAACAAAATCCAAACAGAAAGGTTACTTATGAAGATATTGTTGAAATGAAATATTTAAATGCTTGTATTTATGGTGAGAATATCCAATATTGTGATTTTTATTTTTTAGAATTCAAATTTTAGAATCAATGAGACTCTGCCCAATCCTAGAATACTACACAAGGGTATGCAATCAACCATACGTTTACACAACTTCAACAGAATCTCCGTTACATTTGAAACGAATGGCAGCTAATATTGATGCTGGAACAGTGTGCATTATACCTTTTGGAGGTTTGTGCCACGACGAACGATATTTTTCGGAACCACAAGTATTCAAACCTGAACGATTTTTGGACAAGGATTGCAATGGATTTAGGGGTGTGTTTTATCCTTTTGGAGGAGGACATCGAATATGTTTAGGTAAGAATAAGAAAAATTGGCGTTCTAACGCTACGTTTATGGTCAAAGTTGTAGATGCCCTCAAAATAAGCAGGTGAAAGTAAAATACCACAGTGATCACTTTGGTGCACAAAATAAGGGCAAAATGTAGATTCTATAAATCAGTAACTCTAAATGAAAAAAGTACGATAACTAAAGCTAGTACGATACTAAAACGTTCCAGATGGTATAGCTGCAGGTACAATTAACCAGATTAGTCCTGGGTACTGGTTGTGGTTAAGGTGGTCAAACGAATCTTAAGGTTCAAATTCAAGATAGGGAACCGTCCAAATAAAAGGCGTAGGCTCTGATAGCAACAGCCTTACAATCTCGGTTACAATTAAACGTGTAGTGTAGTGTTACAACTATAGCCGTGAGTAAAAACCCTAAGAGAAAAATTGTTATATTTGTATTTGTAACTGAACCATAGCCATAGCGAGGCACTTTATGAATAGACAGAATTTGAAAATGAAATTAAAATGTAACTTAATTAGTCTTTAAAGGCAAATTTACTTGATAAAACTGTAGCTGTTAAAAATTATTGTAATAGGAAAATTGAATAATAATGTATCTATGATAATAATTAATCAAATTAGACAATTATTGTAATAGGAAAATTGAATAATAATGTATCTATGATAATAATTAATCAAATTAGACAAAATCAGGTAAAACTTTAATAGAAAAGAAAATATGCCTCGAGTTTGCAAAGAAAATTTGAGGTTATTAGATTATGTCTCACCTGTTGGAATAGGGTTTTATTTGCCACAAAAATACTCCTATCCGTTGGATTAGTCAGGATTCGAGATCCTGGATGGAATATGGTGTTTCTAGGGCAGCTTTTTACTAATGAGCAAATAGAGAAAGTGAATCTTGTGGGAAAAAAACATGCAAAGCAAAACTTACCGAAATGGTTTTTAAAAATCCGAAGTTATCGGCAAAATTATAGCACTTAACGAAAACGTAAGGCAACTCAATGTACTATAAATTTAATTACTGAGAAAATTAGGTCCAAAATTCCATTTAGGGCGAAGACAAAATTAAGTTCTTCAAGAGAGACTCTTTTCTCACAACAACCAAATCGTAAAAGGAAGATTCACCACAAGTAATTAATTAGCTGTCCTAGATTTGAAGAATAGAGATGTAGCAATGTAACGATAAATGTCAAAAATTTGAATATCAAAGATAAGAAAATTTACATGATCTGCAATTACTGTAATTATTGTTGAATTTTATAGAGGAAAAATGTAAACAAAGTTACAGGAAGTTTGAATGTAAAATACACGCACTGAATGCCAAAGAGTAAAATTAATTGTCAAGCAACAATTCCTCCATTTTTATCAGGAAACATCATTCTATAGCTACAAATAACGAATATATTTAATAATTTTTCAATTTTTGTTAATATGTGAGCTCGTAGGAAAAATATTGTTCCCAACATGTCCGAAAAGTCTCTTTCCCGCACTTATCCGAACTCCACTTCGCGTCGTTTGTCTAATTGCTTTGGCGTGCAGAAAAGTTCTATTTTGCGCACTTGTTAGGAAAATAATTATTTTGGGTCAGACAGATAGTGTCACCCCCTATTTCTCTCAAATTGTTTGCTTTAGCTGTGAAAAATATCTTCAAAAGTATGTATTTTATTTTTTTTACATAAATGTGAGAAAATTTACTGAATGGTTACATACAAGGAACATCAAATCTACTTTCAATAAGTAACTAATAGGATTTTGAAGTTTGACATTGCATATTAGTTATTACATATACATATTATATTTTCAAATTCAATTTATATAATATGATGACAATAATTGAAAAAACAAATTTGTTTTAGGTCAGCGCTTCGGCATTATGCAAGTCAGAATGGGAATTATAGAGATCATCAAAAATTTTCAAGTGAATTTAAGCGACAAAACAAAGCTGCCCTTTGAATTTTTGCCATGGACTATTTTGAATAAAGTGAAACATGGAGTTTGGTTGACGTACAAAAAATTGTAATTATTGTTTTTTTTTTATAGCTTTTATTAGGCACCAACATTTAAATATTTATGGCATACATTTTGTATTAAATTTATTCAAATATTTTAAATATATGTTGGAAATTGTAATAGTTGTATATTTTGTTTCCATATTCATATTAGACACGGTCCCTTGTTGGGCGGCAAATATTTTCATAATCATTCGGACTCCTTACCTGCGACTGTTTCCGACCGCGCAGACTCAAAACCAGGCGTCGCGCCGTTGACATTACTGCGCCCGTCGGGGCGCCGGCGTAGCCTTGCGCAGGCGCATAGCGAGGCCGCTCCGACTGCGCATGAGGTGCGATATCATGCGGCGCATCGTGTCGCCTAATCGATTGTTATGGCGGAACATTGGGCGCAGCATACGATTATTGATAAACTTTAGCGAGCAGTTTCACGTAACGGCATCTGGAAAGAAAAAAAATAAGTACGTGAGATTACTTCTTGGGTGTTTGCATTTTTTTCAACTGCAAAGCTAGGTTGGGACAATTTGAAATGGATGATTATACAAGAATAATTATCGGGTTTAGCAAATGTGAAAACTTTAACATACCTGCCGATGTCTTGGTTTCCAATATTAAAATAAATTTGCTACAGTCGAAAAAGTATCACGTCCACGAATATGGTTATGAGGAATAGAAATAATGTTCAGCTTTCTTGGACTGATTTATTAAATTTAAAAATCAAATAGCCAACGTTTCGATGCTGGATAGCATCATCATCAGGGCTGCAAAAACGAAACAATGCGTTTAACAAGAAAAAAGGACATTTACATCAAAAAATTGTTGTTTAACTAGGGCTGATGACTGTGTCTTTGTGGTATCTTGTAGTGGTTTTAATTTATTTATTTTTTTTTGTATAAAGATGTGATCATTTTTTAACTTGTTTTAATATGTTGTATGTCACAAAATCGCCCTTTGCGTCACATAGCCCTAGTTGAACAACAATTTTTTGATGTCAATGTCCTTTTTTCTTGTTAAACTTTTATTGTTTCGTTTTTGCAGCCCTGATGTTGATGCTAACCAGCATCAAAACGTTGGCTATTTGATTTTCAAATTTAATAAATCAGTCCAAGAAAGCTGAACATTATTTCCATTCCTCAAAAAAATAAATTTGGTACAAATTTAGAAGATATATTGGAATTGTTAGGCTAGCATCCCGTATGGGACCTCAGTACCTGCTGGTGAAACTGGTTAATAAAAAAAAACTCTACAGTATTGAATATGGGTAGTGTTAATTGAATTTAGTGTGTGGAACTAAAATTTTAGCACAAAAACAGAGACGGTACCTAATTTAAACTTTTTTTACTAACTTGAGAAGTAGTCATTATTCAATCTAGTTTTCTAGGAAAAAATTGAATATCTCTTCCTAGGTTAATAGTGAAAATAATGAAAAAATACCTAGATCAATAATGGAAATGACGTCATGACGCGAAGATATTGTCATGACATACCAGGTTTCTATTCGTTTAATTTCAATTTCAAATTCTCAATTTAAAAAAAAAAAAAAACGGTTCCTGTATGTACATCATAGGAAATTTCCATAAGCTGTTGATAGAGGGCAGCAGTTCCGACAAGAAAAAATAACGCCGAGGTTTATATAAAAGCGCTCGATATATAATGACCAACTTCTCAACCTAGGTATATAATATACTATTATTGACTTAAATTATTGAAATAATGAGTCACAATTATCATTAAAATGACACAGAATGTTTCGATTTTTTTAATTGGATTTTTGGAATTGAGATCGAGGGTTTCTCTGCCGTGCTCTTTTCCCACTTGAATTCCATGATGAGAACGGTACGATTTACTTTAATAATAAAGCAGACGTTTCGCAAATTTTTCGTACTTTTACATATCACAGTTCCCAAATATTTGCTATGACCAGTAAGTAAAATGGAGTAAGTTTCCACAACGTAGGTCCTATTTGTTTTTCATTTCGTTTTTCATAAGATTTATTGTTTAAAAGGTAATATCACACCGTCAATCTTGCTGAACGAACCCGGGTATGTTATACTACACTATGATGAAATATATTTATATTGAGAGGATTTCCTATAACATTCTTAGGGACTATCGAATTGATGCTTTTCAAGATCCAATTCAGTGTGACAATAATGTAAAGGTATCTCCACATCTTCCCAAGAGAGAACTCTAACAAAGGAGAGAGAATTAAAAATAATTTTTGGCCGATTCTATAGGGAGCTTAATGATATTTTTTGTATAATTTTTTCAGTAGAACATTAAAGTGAAATCAATTATTCAAAATTTTCAAGATATATCTAAAAGAAATGGATCAGGGCATATCAGATATCCTATAATTGGAAATTGACATAAATTGTCTTTGCCTCGACTGGGATTAAACCTTTGATATTTAGACCAAACTCTAACAAGGCCTCGCTTTATCTCTGCCCTATCGGTCAAGCTCTAATCCTCAAGGTGTAAGACAGTGGGTGTGCAGTTAGTGTGAAGACGGAGTTTCCACATTCATTATTCAATAGCAGTGGGAATCCATTTATCCATCTGATCGTTGCATAGTCGAAAGATTAGGTTTTTGATTAAGTAAACTGATAAGCCGTGATTAATCTTTTTCATATTCAAAAAAAAACATCGTTCATTATGTAAACGAACTACATGTAGGTACAAAGTACCGAGCGAATGTAGACAGGCATACAGCAAAGAGACAAGGACAACACTGAATATCAGAATTGCAGAACACAGAATCAACACACAAAATCAGGAATAGCTCAACAAAATAAACAAAGATAATTATTGGCAAAAAACAACATTGGAGAAAGAGAAAGTCAAAATAGTAAGGAAAACATGGAAGGAAGAAACAACATCTACAGTAAACAAGAATTTGAAAACCGATCCTTATTAACAACATCATGTCTCTTAATGTATTCAATATACCATTTCAAAATCACTTTCAACTCAAATCGTTTCTTAAAAATTGCTCTTTCAAATAAGTGGGTTTTAAATGGAGTTAAAGTTTCTGATTTTGAACGCGGCAGTATTGTTAATTCCCATTATTTATTCCATTATTATGAAAACTACTACACGCTAAGCCTTGCCGCATTCTAGGAATCAAGTTGTTTACGTCTAGCGCGGCTATTCGAGAAATTTTATTGTTAATAATTTCAAAGTTAGTCTAAATAGGAGTCAGTTTAATAAGAGTTTTGTTGAAGTTCAGTTTAGGTACGAGATTTGATATGTGTTCCTACGTTTCGATAAGTGATCAATACCCAAATATTGATCTTGAAGTTAAGGAAATTAGCAGGAAACGGAATGCAAAACTAATAAAAAATAAAAAAAAACATTCAATATTTCATAATACAAATGAAGAAAAATGTATAGAAATTCACTGTCGAACTTCTATTTAAATTAATAGCTCTTCTTATTCATCCAACATAAACGTTTTACGCTTTCCGTGAAAATTTTTTATCGGCTTTTACCTTGGAATTTTTAAAAACTTCATCTATATAGATAAACTGACTGACAAGATGCTATCTTATCAAGAAATATTGTAATGCAAATCCAAATACGACACTTCCTTTTATATTAAAAATTATTTTCATGCATGAAACATTTTAATGGCATCATCCAACTTGAAAATATCCATATTTGTCCCCAGTTTTCATGTGCAACGGAAATACTGACAAAAAAAAAATAATGGTGAAATTGGATTTCAATCCGTTGTAAATGCACTTAACACCTACTAAAACACGAACGCGCTCATAGATAAATAACGGGTAATGTTTTTGACAGTCCATGCATTTTGTTAAATAATGAGTGTTAAGTGCGGTCGCGTTATTGCAATTTTGTTGAAACTATGGTTTTCCGATGAGGTTTTTAATTGAACATTTTTATTACCTTGTAATTGTTGTTCCAAACTGAATTGAATGGCATAATTTTGCGGCTTTATTAAAGGGTCTATTACCAGAGAATCTAATCATGGTAATCGACAGAAATGGGAGTTTGTTTTATTCTTTGTATATATTGTTACAAATAAATTTAGTAATTTGTGCTTTAAGACAAGAGAACCTATAGGGTCGTGGAATTCGAAAATAAAGATAACGTGTAGCCCTTTTATGTGCAAATGAAACCATTCAAATTCCAACAAACAATAATTTTATTTAATATTTTTTTTTTTATAATGTAAGTAACAATGTTACTTTTCCTTTAAATTTGACAGTTAACAGTTTGGTTGTTCTGGTGAATCTGACACAATATGTACCTTTCCAATCCAGAGCTCTTCAATGTATGTTGGGTTTTCGCTTTCGTGAACTAGAGCTCTTCGTGTTGTTTCCTGTATCCAGGAAAAAGGATAGATTTCTGGTGCGACGTCACTCCAACTGATCCAGACACCAAATAGTGATCTTTATGTCGAGTAGGTACCCAGAAAACAATAAGGCAGTATCTATCCGGATTTCTACTTTAAAAGTGCAGCCTTTCAGCGCTCTTCTTACTCGAGAAGATAATTGAAGGAGTTAAACAGAAAATGTCTATACAGGCCTCTGCCTGGATTCGGTGAAGAGTTGAAAGGGATGGACACACAAATTTGGTTTGCACCGACTCTATTTAGAGCAAATGGTCCAATAATCCCACACTAACAATTGATTCTGAAAACCAAAGCAGCAGAACCTATTTATTATCCAAAACTCTGAATTGACTCACCTCAGAAAAACGTACGTGGGACCACCCATCACAAAATAGAGGCACACAATTAGACAAAAAAAAAAAATTAAAAAATAATATTTATATTTCAAAGGTAGATAAGATAAGATTTATCAGGTAAAAACTCAAGTGATAGATAGTATACATTGATGGTAAAATAAATTGAAAAATATTAAGGGAAAATCTAGAAATCTGAAGAAAAAAATTACAAAAATAAAATCGGCTTGCATGTCTAGTGGTTCCGCCAGAAAAGAGACCGTTTTAGAACCTGAACCCTTCAGGTAACCAATTTTGTGTTTTTTTATACTTAACTGCGTAGTAACCATCGACCAATCAGAAGACAACACTCAACACATACAAAATACCGTATTCACTTCATTAATGAAATACCACGCTGCTTGAAAGGGAATAGATAAAAACACACTAGAATTATTTTAATTGTTTACAAATTACAATAGATTATGTTGAAAACACAAAACCACTAATTAATTACGTCATTAAAACAAAAATAATTATTTCAGAATCAGCAGTTAGAGAAAGACAGAAATATATCTAGTTGCTAAAAGTGAGATAAATATAATTTCTTTAAATGAAAATACGAATGACTGTCAATGAGAAATTATAAAAATCATATTTTAAAAAATAAATTTATCAGGTACTAGATGGCGGTACCTTCTTTTAATAACAGATATTTGCATTTTCATGCTCATTATGGATAGATGGCAGTAC